TATCCTCCTTTGCATCCGAGTCCTGACCGAACTGATCTGGATCTTAAGATCGAGCTGCCTGAGCAGATAGTGGCTGCCCCAGAGCTCATTGACAGGGGGGCATGCCAGGAGGACGCGCCGCGGAACGTCCCAAGGGACGCGCCAGGCGACGTGCCAGGGGACGTGCCATGGGGACGCACCGCGGGACATGCCAAGGGGACGCGCTACGGAACGTGCCAATGGACGTGCCGCGGGACGTGCCAGGGGACGCGCCGCGCGACGTGCCAGGGGAACTCGCCATGGGACACGCAACGGAACTCAGCAGGGAGCGTGCCAGGTTGCAATGCTGAGTGTATCGATCTTGATGTACCGTGTCGAGGGCTGTGCTGTGCTGCGCCGTGCTGAATTGCGATGTGCCTTGCCGCAATTGTGCTCTATAGCGTTCTGGATCGAGTCCTCCTTTGCATCCGAGTCCTGACCGAACTGATCTGGATCTTAAGCTCGAGCTGCCTGAGCACGTAGTAGCTGCCCCAAGACATTCTCAACGCATCCTCATGCTAGACATCCGCCTGGGCAATCTGGACACGTGCAAACAAGCGTCTCGATCGAGATTTCCTCAACATATCCTCATGCTAGACATCCGCCTGGGCGGCCTGGACGCGTGAAAACAAGCGCCTCCCTCGAGACATCCTCAACAGATCCTCATGCTAGACATCTGCCTGGGCAACCTGGACGCGTGAAACGAAGCGTCTCGCTCGAGACATTCTCAAGACCTGGGCACGTGAAAACAAGGATTTCACTTGAAAGATCCTGTGAATTCTGGTCCCCAGGTCTACAACGCAAAACAAGTGTCTCGCTAGAGACATCCTCAGCAAATGTACATAAGCAAGCGTTTCGATCGGGACGTCCTCAAATTTTGATTCGCCGGCCCTCTTCGACCTCATCGTTTGTCGCATAAATTCGCCGGCCCTCTTCGAATTTGGCCCTAGAGTGCCCAGGCCCGTCAAATTTTACAAACGAGCGTTTCGCTCGAGAGATCCCCAGAATTTCTGCGCGCAGGACGCGCCACCCTCGAGCGGGCACGCAAAAAGTCAACATTGTCACATTTTGTGTGTCCCAGCCGGGGCTCCAGACTTTGTTTTTTCTTGAGGATTCTGCTTGAAATGCCCCGCACACTTTTTTTATAAGGAAAAACGGGGATCCGCGGACCCCGTTCCTTATCGAGGATCCGAGATGGGGGGCGCACTTTCCTCGAGCGGGCACGCGCGAAAGTTTTATCTTCCACGCCGAATCGGAGTTTACCTTGTTTTTCATCGAACGGAAATCCGCCGGCCCCCTTCAAAAAAGGCCCCGGGGACATACTACCATCCTATATGGGGCAGTGCGAAGGGGGGTCACCACTAGGGGGGTCGCCACTTCCTCGAGGAAACGCCACTTCCTCGAGACTTCCTCCAGGAACTGGGCCCCCCAGAGCCCCGAAAACGCAAAGAAACGTCCAAGAACATCGTCGACCCCTCGACTCTCCATCCTGGAACCTCGATTTCCAGGAGAAGCTAGCGACCCCCCCAGTGGTGACCCCCCTTGGCACTGCCTGACTATAAAAGAACCCTGGGCCCCAGCCCTTTCCGGGAAAAAGCGCTTGGCGCTCAGCGTCCCCCCCATTGCGCGACGCCCGACCGAGCCGACTCTTCCCCGCCCCCGGGGCCCGTGGAGAGGGTCAGCGGGAGCCCGGAAGGGAGCCAACCGGAGAGATCTCCAGCTGACCCGCCCACTGTTGTACACGTTTGCTTAGAAGGTCGCGGCGGCGGCCCCAGCAACACTTTTTTTTTACCATCCAGCGGAGCCCAGTGGCAGGGAGGCAGGGGGCGGCGGGGGGGGGGGGAGCGGGGAGGGGAGGGGGAGGGCCAGGCGCGCGGCCCGCAGCCCGGCGGCCCCAGTAACACGCCATGCCCTGCAAGCAGATCGCGTGTCGCTCCGCTCTGCGGGGCGGAGGGCTCAGGAAAGGCTCGGGACGCGAAAGCCTGGGGGCTGGGAAGCGGATCGTGTGTCGCACCGAAGCGTGGTGGGCCAAGACTGACGCAGCGACACGCAGTCCAAAAGTTCCCGACCGTATCCTCCGTGGCGATGCATCAGCCCGTGGAGGCCTCCCGCATGGGGTCCGAGCAGAGGGGGTCGGAGGATCGCGCCGCATCGCCGATGCGTCGGCGATGCATCTCCGAGCGCCGTCGGCGAGAAGTGCAGAAATCGGGCTCCACATCGAGCCGCATCGCCGATGCATCGGCGATGCGGCGCGATCCTCCGACCCCCTCTGCTCGGACCCCATCTGGGAGGCCTTCCTGCCCACACGGGGGGGAGAGAAAAAGCTCCTTGCCGCCAGGCTGTGGCGCCATGGGCCCCGACGGCCACGCCGCCGCCTCCCCCCCCCCGAAGCGCGCGCGCCAGCGCGGGGGCGTGCGGGAGCCGCTGCGTGGGGCGGGGGGGGGGCAGCGACGGCGTGGATGGGACGTCGTCGTCGTCGCCGTCGAACGTCGGACGAAGCGTTTCGCCGTTCTCGCTCGCAGAGGGGTGGGCCGGGTGGCGCGAGTGCCACTTCCGCCTCCAGCCACCCCGGCCCGGAGAGGGCAGCCAGGAAGACAAGCAGAACAAAAACAGGAGAGACCGGGCAGGACTAGGCGAGGAAATTGCACCAATCCAGGCGAGCCTGGGCCTCTTCGCGGATGCGACGAGGGAGGTGGGCGGAAACCTGGACGCCAGGTCGTGCTCAGGCCGAAGGGCCTCCAGAGACCTCACCCGGCAGGAGGCCGCCGAAAGGTAAGACACCGAAGGATGTACTCGGGAAAAGGCCCAAGGTTGGCCCTCGGGCCACAGAGTGGCCTGGAAGGACCACGGGGCGACGCGGCGTCTGCGCCTCTCCCGTGCCTCAGCTCGACTGCGGCGTGGGAGTGGCGAGGGAGGGGGGCGTCCTGGCGGCCCCGGCGACGCGTTATGCCATGCGTGGCGTGGCGTTGCGCTCAGCGGGTCGGGACGCTCGGGAAAAGCTAGGGACGTGGACGTGGACGCCTGGGGATGGGGAAGTGGATAGCGTGTCGCGCCAAAGCGTGGTAGGCCAGAACCAGCGGAGCGACACGCTTTCCAAAAGTTCCCGACCGTACTCGACGCGGAGATCCCAACATGTGCATTTCGCTTCCTGGCACGTTACGCTGTGAGCGTCTGGCTGTGAGCGTCTGGGTGCGCGAGCGAGTCCAAGTAGTAAACGACGGGTACGACGACGGCGGCGGCTACGATGAGGGACAGCGACGACGACGACGACGACGACGACGGCGGCGGCGGCGGCGACGACGGCAACTCACAAACAGGCGGTGAGCAGGTCCCTCCCCTCTCCTTCCTCTGTCTCCTCGTCATACTCCCTCCCTACTCTTCCTCCGTCCTCTCTTTTCCCTCCTCCCGTCCTCTCTTGTCCCTCCTCCCGTCCTCTCTTTTCCCTCCTCCTTCCGCCTCCTTCTTCCTCCGTCCTCTCTCATCCTCCCTGGCGGCTGTCCTTCTCCCTGCTCCTACGTCCTCCTCCTTCCTCCTCCTCCTCGTCCTCCCTCATCATCCGTCCTCCGTCCTCCTCCTCCCTTCCCCCTCATTCCCTCAACTTCCTCCTCCTTCCCTCTCTTTCCTCTTCCTCCTCGCCGTAGCCCCGCGACAGCGTGTCGCGGCGGCGGTCCCAGCGACACGCTTGCCCTACGAGCGGATAACGTGTCGCTCCGCTCTGCGGGACGGGAGGCAGGGAAAGGCTCGGGACGTTGACGCCAGGGGACTAGGATGCGGATAGCGTGTCGCGCCGAAGCGAGGTGGGCCAGAACTGGCTGCGCGACACGCTAAGCCAAAATTCCCGACCGTGAGGGGTTGCCACCTCCTCCAGGAAACGGGCCTCTTGGACCCCAAGAACGCCCCTGCACCCCAAAAGCACCTAACAAGGCCCAAAACCTCAGCAGTCTTCGATCCTCCCTCCACCTCGATCCTCGATTTCTGGGAGGCGAGGGTGACCCCCCTAGTGGTGATCCTCCTTGGCGCTGCCCGAATCGGCACCACCGCCATCGAGAGGAGCCAGGCAGGATCAGTAGGCCTCGACTTGGGGAATCAGATCTCATCGGCAAAGGCATCGGATCGGGCCGCACCGGCACGGAGTCGGAGCCGAATCGGATCGGCCGCGCCAGATGGGCATCACCGGATCGTCCGATCATCGGCATCGAAACCGGATCGGGCTGGCCGAAATCGACATCGAATGGGATCGATGGGATCGATTTCGATCGACATCACACCGCCAAGAGGACCCCCCTGTTGTTGCGGCGTCCCGCTCGAGACACCGCCTAATCATCTCTAGCTCGGGTGGGCATTGTGAACCTCCTTGCTAGAGTTGGTGCGCTGGTGCTGGTGCCGCTCCTCCCTCCTCCGACGGAGGGTGGAGGAGACGAGACAAGGCGAGGCGTCGATGTTCGAGGCGAGGTTCGAGGATCGATGCTGAAGGCTTGGAGGTTGAAGTCGAGGCTCGAAGAGAGAAGGCGAGGATCGAGGATCGCTGCTGAAGGCTCGGAGCGCTGTTCGTCACCCGCTTGGGGGCCTGGAGGCTGCTCGGCGCTGCGAGCGGAGACCCGTATAAATATTGGAACTATTGTCGGGACGCGCCCCCACAGAGGTCAAGGGGCCGAATCTTGAGGCGAGGAGAGAGACAGAGAGAGGGAGGAGGAGGAGGAGGAGGAGGAGGAGGAGGAGGAGGAGGAGGAGAGGAGAGGAGGGGGAGGAGGAGGAGGAGGAGGAGGAGGAGGAGGAGGGAGGAGGAGGAGGAGGAGAGGAGGAGAGGAGGGAGGAAGGAGGAGGAGGAGGAGGACGACGACGACGACGACTGTCGGGTGAAGCATCACCCCCACGGCATGCCAAAGAAGAAAGAGGACGACTGGGCACTCCGCGCGCCTAAGGGGGATGGGGGAGCATCGAGGCGGTATGCAGCAGTGGCCAGGGGCACGACACGCGAGCTTTCGGCCGCCCATTTTCCTCGCCTCAGCGACGGCGAGCTCCACCTCCTCGAGCACGCGCTTCGGCGTTGCGCTCAGGACAGCATTGCAGAACAGGTGTGATGCCTCGACGCGGACAGGAACACGCAGACACAGACGGCCTGCAGGCAGCAGGCTACGAGGCAGACACCCCCTAAGAGGGCGCAGGCGCCTGGGCTGCCGAGCAAATGAGCCTCCGAGATGATGACCCGCTTGTAAGGCACCCTCCAGGCGTCGGTCCACACCCTGTCGTTCTCGAGAAACTCCAGCCGGTATCGCCCCGAGCTGAGGCCGCCTGGTACGCGCGCCCACAGGTTCCTGACGCGGGGCGACGCTGGCTGCCGGCTCCAGACCTTGAAATGTTCGAAAAAGTTGTCCTGCACCGTCAACCAGCTCGGTACCCCCTCCACCGTGAGCTCGGCACCGGCTCCCACGCCGCCAATGGTGGGGAGCACCTTGTCGCTGTACACTTCGTCTTGGCTGTCGAGCGAGACGCCAGACTCCACCAGACTGATCTCGGCTCCATCTTCGAGGCGAACGAGCCTGTACCTGTCGGTGAACATGGACAGGGACACCAGCCCACATGGGCGGAAGGACGACGTGTTAGCCAGTCGTCGCAGGATCGGGTCGGACTGGATGGCATCCTGCGGGCAGTCTGGCCCGTGCGGGCAGTCCCGCCACCTGGCGCACTCCTCCGAGCCCGGGGGGCCGGGACAGCGCCGCCACCCGACATCTCTGATTTGGGCGTCCTCGCAGTTGTAGCGGTTAATCATGCTGCCCACGATGTAGTCGTCCTTGCTCTCCACAAACCGCTTCTGATTCATGAGGACCTCGGGCAGCTCGTACGAGACAAGGGCCTCGCCATCGATGTCCTCATCGATCACGAACTCCCTCTGCACATCGCCAGCCACGTAGTCCATTGACGTCTCCGAGATGCCCGCCGCCGCCGACAGCAGCACGGCGGCCGCCACCCCGAAGAGCAGGGTGCAGAAGCCCGCCACCATCGCCTGGGCCGGCCACCGGAAAAGCCAGAGCGGGACGAGGCACCTGATCAGAAAGACAAAAAAACGGTAGCAGCCTAATCTTTCGGAGGTCCGCGCGGATCTCTTGGATCTGCGCTGGGCCCCCCGCCCTGGAGCGCGGAGCACGCCAGGGGCGGTGCCAGAGGCGCCGCCCCGGGGTGCCCAGCGCAGATCCAGGCAGCCCGCGCGGAGCTCCGAAAGTGTAGGCTCGTGCCGGTGTTGCTTCTTCCGGCCTCGGCTCGTCCTGCTGCACCAGCCTCCCGAGGTAGCCGCCGCGGAGGCGGGACGGCAGGCCGACCTCTGCGCCCGCGCCGGCGGCCCCGGGGCTCTTCCCCTCGGAGGCCTCGGGCGCCGCCTGGGCCGGGCGGGCGCCGTGCGCCCCGTCGGTGCTGCTGCCGTGCCGGCTGGCCCCCCACCCTTCGGTGGGGGCTGGGAGGGGCTGCACCCGCGACACCTCGAAGAAGTCGGCGCCCGCGGGCTCCCCGGGTTGCGGCAGTGGTTTGTGCAGGCTGGGGCCGCCGAGTGAGGGCGGCCGCGGGACCACCTCAGCCAACGGCGGGCTCCCGCGCGGCGGGAAGGGCGCCGGGGGGCAGGGCCCGTGAGGCACCGGGCGGCGGCAGCTGCCGCCCTCGAGCACACGCGGGCTGAGCCACTCGATGACGGGCCCCTCTGGATGCACGGGCACGAAAGGACACTGCGCGGCACCTCACAATGGCGGATGAGAGTCGGGGGGCGGGCGTGGGTCGCGCGGGCGGGTCGCGGGTGGGTCGCGGGGTGAGTCGCGGGGTGGGTCACGGGTGGGTCGCAGACGGGCCGTGAGCGAGGACGACGACAACAATAACAACAACAGTCACTTGAAGACTGCTATGACAACTCGGAGCATGCACCTTCCCCCTTCATCATCCCCATTCCCCCCACATCCAGGCTTGCTGATCGACCCCTACGATTTCCCTCTGGCGGAACTGCCATTCCTGGAACTGTTTCATCCCCAAATGATTTTGGTGGCGCCGCATTGAGAAGATCAAAACTTGCAACAGGCTGACAGTCTTGTTCCGTGACCTTCAGCTGAGACCTCAAGCGCAACTTTAGGCTAAAGGTGCGGTGAAGGAAGGGCCTAGTAGCTTAGGTCCCTGAACTGGCTCGGCGGGTGCATAAGCCCAGTCGTGCAAGTCTCATTTTTTCCTCCACCTTGGGAGGCAAGACAAGGCAACTGGTGGCAAGAGTAACACATATTCTGGTTGCCACGTTGGTCCCACAGGATGGCTTCAATATCCTTCGGGTCTGGGATTTCCTCCTTGATATGTTCCTTGATCTGCTCCTTTGACGGGCTAAGCCCGTCCTCGGCAATCTCCGTGGGCGAGGCGGTTGCGGCCCTCCGTACGGGTGGGGGGGTTCCGCTGGGATGGGTGACCTCGATCTGCTCCTCTCTGTCGGTGCTGGAGTCGCCCTCGTAGTGGAGGCCGGTGGCTTCATGGCTGCTGGTGCCACCTGGGGCTTGTGGTTCCTCGCAACACTTGCCCTCTCGGTCCTCACGACGGATGAATCAGCTCCTGGCCAAGCTGAGGGCGGTGGCTGCGATGGGTAAGGCGGCGGTGGTAATGCCTCGATCTTGTCCGTCGGGCGGGCTTCTGCTGCTTAGCACCGTGGGGCATACTCCTCCATGTCAACTCCCACCTGAGAGTCGTCCAGATCCTACAACTCGTCGGCGGTCTTTTTCCATAAGAGTAGGTCGGTTTCTGCTTGAACTTTGTGGTCGCTGATGTCATCCATGACCCTTGCTTTGCATTGCTTTACATTGCGTTGCATTGCTTTGCGTTGGTTTACATTGTTTCGCAGTGTGTTGCATTACTGTATGCATCGACTTGCATTGACTTGCAATGCTTCCTATTGCTTGGCATTGCTTCGCATCGCTTCGCATCGCTTCGCATTGCTTTGAAATTAATTGCATTGCTTTGCTGTGTTTTGCCTTGATTTCAATTGATTTGCAGTGATTCGCATTGACTCGTATGGCGCTTCTTCGCAGTGCTTCAGATTGCTGTGCCTTGATTTGCATTGTGTCGAACTGATTCGTATTGCTTCGCATTGTTTTGCATTGTTTTGCATTGCTCTGCATTGTTTCGAATTGTTCTGCATTGCAGTGCATTGCATTGCATTGCATTGCATTGTGCTGTGATGACACGCATTGCTCTGCATTGGTTTTCATTGCGTTGTATTGCTGCGCACTGCTTCGCGCTGCTGTGCGTTTCTGGTATGTTTTGAATGTCTGTGCACTGCTTTGCGTAGCATTGCATTTCTTTACATCGCTCTGCATTGATTTGCATTGCGGTGCATGGTTTTGCGTTGCAAGACATTGCGTTTACATCTCATTGCATTGCTTCGCTGTCCTTCGCATTGGTTTGCATCGATGTGCAGTTCGTGTGCGTTGCTTTCAAGTGGTTTCCAGTCTTATCAAAGAACAGACTCTACCACCACCACCCCGCCCCCCGTTCCCCTCCTGGATGATCGATCCCTCCTGGGGCACTGCCTCGTCGTTCTTTTTTGCAAACCAGCACACATCATCCCAGGGAGTCTTCTGATGGACCCCCATCCATCCCTGTCAAAGAAAACTCTGTGCGCACACTCGTGCATCGCAACAACGTTCGTCAAACAATCATTACTTACACTGACCCTGCGCAATGAGGGGCATAAGTACATCAGGATTGCTACAACGGGGGCGATGACGTAACATGGACGCCTGTGATTGTGCGAGCAGTAATCGTAAGGCTCGCAGGCCCCCGAGCAAGATATAAGGGCGTCGTAGTGGTTACTAACGCAACCCCCGCCCTCCCAGGGACGGCGAGGTCTCGCTCATGTCCCCGCGGTGCCTCACTCCGCTGGACCCGACAGCAGCCCTCGAACGTGGCGACAGTGTCGCAGATCGCAGCCCCCCCAAGGACCGCGAGGTCTCGCTCAGGCCCCCGCGGTGCCCCACTCCGCTGGACCCACCAGCAGCCCTCGAAAGTGGCGACGGTGTCGCAGATCGCAGCCCCCCACGGGACGGCGAGGTCTCGCTCAGATCCCCGCGGTGCCTCACTCCGCTGGACCCACCAGCAGCCCTCGAACGCGGCGACAGCGTCGCAGATCGCAGCCCCCCGGGACGGCGAGGTCTACCTCAGATCCCTGCGGTGCCACGGTCCGCAGCCCCCCAGGGACGGCGAGGTCTACCTCAGATCCCCGCGGTGCCTCACTCCGCTGGACCCACCAGCAGCCCTCGAAAGTGGCGACAGTGTCGCAGATCGCAGCCCCCCAGGGACGTCGAGGTCTACCTCACATCGCCGCGGCGCCTCAAGCCGCAGGAACCACCAGCAGCCCTCGAAAGTGGCGACAGTTTCGCAGATCGCAGCCCCCACCAGGGACGGCGAGGTCTACCTCAGATCCCCGCGGTGCCTCGCTCCGCTGGGCCCACCAGCAGCCCTCGAAAATGGCGACAGTTTCGCAGATCGCAGCCCCCCCACGGGACGGCGAGTGTCTACCCCCGATCCCCGCGGTGCCCCACTCCGCTGGACCCACCAGCAGCCCTCGAAAGTGGCGAGAGCTTCGCAGATCGCAGCCCCCCAGGGACGTCGAGGTCTACCTCAGATCCCAGCGGTGCCTCAGTCCGCTGGACCCACCAGCAGCCCTCGAAAGTGGCGACCGTGTCGCAAATCGCAGCTCCCAGGGACGGCGAGGTCTACCTCAGATCCCAGCGGTGCCCCAGTCCGCTGGACCCACCAGCAGCCCTCGAAAGTGGCGACCGTGTCGCGGATCGCAGCCCCCAGGGACGGCGAGGTCTACCTCACATCCCCGCGGTGCCTCACCGCGCGCCTTCGAAATTGGCGACAGTTTGTCAGATCACAGCCCCCAGGGACGGCGAGGTCTACCTCAGATCCCCGCGGTGCCTCATTCCGCTGGACCCACCAGCAGCCCTCGAAAGTGTCGACAGTGTCGCAGATCGCAGCCCCCAGGGACGGCGAGGTCTCGCTCAGATCCCCGCGGTGCCTCACTCCGCTGGACCCACCAGCAGCCCTCGAAAGTGGCGATAGTTTCGCAGATCGCAGCCCCCCTCCCAGGGACGGCGAGGTCTACCTCAGATCCCCGCGGTGCCTCACTCCGGTGGACGACCACCAGCAGCCCTCGAAAGCTGGACGCAGCCCTCGAAAGTGTCGCAGATCGCAGCCCCCCAGGGACGGCGAGGTCTACCTCAGATCCCCGCGGTGCCTCACCCGCTGGACCCACCAGCAGCCCTCGAACGTGGCGACAGTTTCGCAGATCTCAGCCCCCCAGGGACGGCGAGGTCTACCTCAGATCCCCGCGGTGCCTCACTCCGCAGGACCCACCAGCAGCCCTCGAAAGTGGCGACAGTGTCGCAGATCGCAGCAGGGACGGCGAGGTCTACCTCAGATCCCGCGGTGCCTCACTCCGCTGGACCCACCAGCAGCCCTTGAAAATGGCGACAGTGTCGCAGATCGCAGCCCCCCCAGGGACGGCGAGGTCTACCTCAGATCCCCGCGGTGCCTCACTCCGCTGGACCCACCAGCAGCCCTCGAACGTGGCGACCGTGTCGCAAATCGCAGCCCCCAGGGACGGCGAGGTCTACCTCAGATCCCCGCGGTGCCTCACTCCGCTGGACCCACCAGCAGCCCTCGAAAGTGGCGACAATGTCGCAGATCGCAGCCCCCCAGGGACGGCGAGGTCTACCCCAGATCCCCGCGGCGCCTCACTCCGCTGGACCCACCAGCAGCCGTCGAAGGTGGCGACAGTGTCGCAGATCGCAGCCCCCCAGGGACGGCGAGGTATACCTCAGATCCCCGCGGTGCCTCACTCCGCTGGACCCACCAGCAGCCCTCGAAAGTGGCGACAGTTTCGCAGATCGCAGCCCCCATCGTCGGCGAAGGGAGGGCAGGAGGAGGCGGGAGGCGGGAGGCGGGAGGAGGAGAGACGCGACCACACCCCTCTATTCAAAACGAATACCCAACCAAAGAGGGTTGGGAAAAACATGATCGACCCACGAACCCGGAAAGGAATCTAGAAATGTAACGCACGGCAGCGTGTTCAAATACACCTGATTGGGTGACGGGCAAATGCAATGCTGAGTGTATCGATCTTGATGTACCCTGCCGAGGGCTGTGCTGTGCTGCACCGTGCTGAATTGCGATGTGCCGTGCCGCGATTGTGCTCTATAGCATTGTGGATCGAGTCCTCCTTTGCATCGGAGTCCTGACCGAACTGATCTGGATCTTAAGCTCGAGCTGTCTGAACACATAGTAGCTGCCCCAGAGCTAATTGACAGGGGGACATGCCAGGAGGACGCGCCGCGAAACGTCCCAAGGGACGCGCCAGGCGACGTGCCAGGGGACGTGCCACGGGGTCGCACCGCGGGACGTGCCAAGGGGACGCGCTACGGAACGTGCCAATGGATGTGCGACGGGATGTGCCAGGGGACACGCCACGCGACGTGCCAAGGGGACTCGCCAAGGGACGCCCCACGGAACGTGCCAAGGAACGTGCTACAAAATCACGCTGCGCCCCCGCTCCAGCTGTCACGACCTCTCATAAGTTACGCTGCGTCCGCATTCCTAGGGCCACGAACCTCAACAATTCACACTGCGCCCGCGCTCCAAGGGCCCCGATCCCTCATAGATTACACTGGGGTCGCGCTCCCAGGGCCCCGACCCCTCGTAAATTACGCTGCGCCCGCACTCCAAGGTCCACGATCCAAAGTAATGTACGCCTGCGTCCGCGATCAGAGAGCCACGATCCTCTGCAACTTACGCAGGGTCCGCGCTCCCACTGCCGCGATCCCTCGTAAATTACACTGGGGTCGCGATCCCAGGGCAACGATCCCGCGTAAATGCCGCTGCGTCCGCGCTCCCAGGGCCACGATCCCTCGTAAATTACATTGGGGTCGCGTTCCCAGGGCCCCGACCCCTTGTAAATTGCGCTGCGTCCGCGCTCCCAGTGCCACGATCCCTCGTACATTACGCTGCGTCCGAGCCCCTAGGGCCCCGATCCCTTGTATTTTACGCTGCGCCCGCGCTCCAAGGGCCACAATCCCTCGTAAATCACGCTGCGTCCGAGCTCCCAAGGCCCCGACCCCTCGTACATTGCGCTGCGCCCGCGCTCCGCGGGCCACGATCCCTCGCAAATTACGAATGGTCCGCGCTCCAAACACCACGATCTCTCGTAGATTACGCCGCGTCCGCGCTCCCAGGGCCTCCTGGGGCATGCTGGAGCGCCCAGGCTCCTCGAGTTTTGCAAAACAAGCGGTTCGCTCGAAACATCCTCGATGTTTTGGCGCGGGGGGCGCACCATCCTCGAGCGGGCACGCAAAAACTCCTGCGTGACCAAGGAAATCCTTGAAAAACAAACGAATATAGTCGAGACATCCTCGAAATTCCTGCGCGCGGGACGCGGCACGCGCGAGACATCCTCGGAATTCCTGCGCGCGGGGAGCTTCTCCGCGTCGCGGTCGGGGCTCCAGACCTTGGTTTTTGTTCGAGGATTCTGCTAAAAGTGCCCCGCACCCTTTTCTCCACGAAGGGAAACGGGGGCCCGCGGACCCCGTGATTTATCAAGGATCCGAGGTGGGGGGTCGAGTTTCCTCGAGCGGGCACGCGCGAAACGCATTTGTTTCACACCGAATTGGACTTCACCTAATTTTCTATCGAACGGAAATCTGCCGGCCCTCTTCTGGGGGGGAATTAAGCTTCTAACAGAGAACCTTGGGCCTGCACCCTTTCTGGGAACAAGTA